ATGCCAACATCGCGGATGACGTTAGCGAGAGACAGAAACGGATGGAAACAGTGCTGGGGCCTGCACGACGAGTGAAGACAGGCCATCTAAGTATCTGATTAATAGGATTCTCCGCACTCTTCGCTCTACCCTACCGAAAATTAGTGCGCTAAAGTAGGTGGATATCTTAATTGCGAATGACATCATTAGTAAGAGTATTTATTCCTTTTTTTTTTCAAATGATAATTTTCCTTATTTCTCGCCATAGCCTATTACAACAAATGCAAAGATGTGTATTCCACGCTGAATAAAATGATGGCCTTTTTTGAAGCCTAGATTCGCTGGAACTCCTACTGGGAATGTTAAAAAGTGAGCTGTGTCCTTTAAAAAAATTAGTTGAAACTTTTAAAAAACTGCTAACCTAAAATGCAAACCAGCAGCGCGTAGCCAGGTATGCGAACTACTATGTTATATGCTATGTCACAACAGATCATCTTGTTGTGACACAAGAAATTAAAAGGATTCTGAGAACGGCCTATCCTACCTGAGCTGTGAAAAATAAATACAAGGCTGGATTACAATATTCTTATTAAAAGAAATGTAAGAGAAGGGGAGAAGAGGCAGCGGCCGATTGGCCGGCTGTGCGGTCATTTTGGAAAGATGACAACTTTTATTCTACGGCAATCGCTTCTGTGATGAATGAAGGCTATTCCACATCCCTAGTGCAAGCACCGCGGCTTTCTGGGCTCAGGTGCCACTTGAAGTCAAATGATCGTAATCGCTAAAATATTAAAACCGTGAAAAACTAATTTGCGAACCTCCAATCTATCTACAATCTAGCTTTAGAATGCGCTACCTTCATTCATTATAACTTTTAGTCACAAAACCAAATCTTTACAACACAAAAGTCGGTAGTACAACAAACAATGAAAGGAGGTCAATTTTTCGGCGTACTGTACCAACTTCTGTACCGATACCACAGACTCCATTCCAGATTTGGGAATTTGGCGGGATATCTTGTCAGTCCTACTATGCGATTTGTCTTTTCTAGTTGTAGATACTTTTTAAGTGAAAGGATCGATACCTTGGTTACAGATTTTATTGTTGCTTCTACCATTATTTTCTTAACGCTCAAAAATTCATTAGATTCCAATAATTTACACAAAACCTTGGTCGTTTCTCAACTGTAATCTAGAAAAAATTCCTAATTTCTTCCGAATATCTCAATTTAACCATGATTTTCGCAAAATCATAACCTCATGGAGAACTAATCACCTCTAATCTCTT